ATGCAACATTCTGTTATACATCCAATTTCTATACTTTTGAATATCCATAACACACTTACACTATAAATTCCTACAACCAAACGATGAGATTTGTATCAATTTTAAAAAGTTAAATAATTAAAAAATAGTGATAATTTTAGGAGTTTACATGGATAGTTGTGTGCCTCCATCACACATTCATTATATAATAGGCAATAGAAGAGTGTGTGTGAATTAGTGCAACACACTAAAACATCTAGTTTATCAACCGAGTCATCATAAGGTCACCTTTTTATGTGGCCAAACCATTAAAGCGACTCTCTAATCTTATATTCCACTGGAGCTACACCAACATTTTCATGTCTATGCTCATTCCTTATCATGTTTCTAAGAGTAAAGCAACTCATCCAGCTAAGCATCCTCATCTCTACAAAACTTAATATTATGCTTCTCTTTTAATGCCCAACATTCTACATCATAATAAATCATTACATGTCTCACACCCTTTTTTAGAATTCTTTCTTAAGTTTGAGAGGAACTTATCTATCATACAATAAGCCAGATGCATTCCTCCATTTCAACCATCCAACAAGAATTCTGCTAATAATATCGCATCCATTACTCCATCATCATGAACAATAATAGACTCTAAGAGTAAAGCCTCTCATCCATCTAAGCATCCTCTTCTCTGCAACAATTAACCTAATATTATGGTTCTCTTTTAATGGCCAACATTATACATCATAAAGAATTGCAGGTTTCACCATCTTATAAAATGTTTCCTAAAGTATGAGGAAACTTTTCTATCACACAAAAAGTCCTAAACTATGAACAATCTCCATTCATCTCCTAATTAAACCTAAAATATGAACAATAAACTCGTAAAATGGAAGGAAGATTACCTTCTCAACGAGAGCCGATCAGATGCGACAGGAAGAATGTCGTGTAAGGAGACGACAGTGAGAACATGTCCAAGGAGAAGGGCGGATGTGACTAGAAGGGACGTCATCGAAGGAGGCAACTGGAAGGAGCGCCGTCAAAGGAGGCAAGCAACTCGTGGTGAGAGGGGAGACGGTGGCTTCGAAGGTGAGGAAGTGTGATGAAGAATGACGAGGAATTGAAGGAACGTCGTCGAATGAGACGATGGCACAAGGGAACGATGGCACAGAGGAACGTCGTCAAAGGAATGTCACAGACACAGTCCAACAAAACAGAACGAGAATGAGCGAATGAAAGAAATTGTCAAGACGCCGATTTAAATAGAGGTGTTCGTGACAGATTTGCGGCGAAAAATCAAACACAAATTTCCAGCAGATACTTCGCCACAAATCCACTGCAAATCCATCACAAAATAAACAACGAAAATTTCTGTCACAAATCCGCCACAATTTTAGAGAATTTTTTTTTTTCATTGTAAAGTTCGCCAAAAATTGCTGACTTTCTTATGGCACTTGCTCTAATCATCCCCATTAGGAGATATTTGATAATATTTTATTTTAAAATAAATTGTTGGAACTTTATTCTAATGCAGTTGTTGACATCTTTGACTTTGTTCATGATTGTTACAGTATTTTATAAAATTGATTGTGAAATTACTGTAGATAAAACAACTTTGCTATTAAAGTTGGAGAAAACAACTTACCATCACAAAAATATCTGAGAAGTAGAGCGAAAAGAAAAAAAAAAAACATTATGCAAACATAATCATGATTACTATCTTAAAAGCAAAGCATATAAAAAATTGTCACAATCAATCAAACCTTTAATCATATCTTTTGTGATCATCCTCATTTACTTGTTTCTATTAAACCTATTTTTTCACTTGAGGCTCCTCTTTTATTTGAAACTTTTTGCTGTGAGCATCCCTTTTTTTTTAATATTATCTACATAATAATTGGTCGGTTTTTCTCATCCCTCATTTCTACGCGTATGGGATGGTGATTAAACTTTGGATTAAGTTGAAAAGTCTTAGAGAATTTTTAAGTTGGTGGAATAAGCATCATTTTGGTAACTCATTCCAAAATATTAATTTCATATCTTCTTTGTGTTTCGTCATATGTCAAACAGATTTGGTTGGTTTGGGAGAATAAGCGTCGGCACGCTGCATCAAGAAATGACGATGGCCAACAAATGGAGAAAAAGTTAAGACAGAAGAATCTAATAATAATTAAATTTATTATGAGATTAATAATTGATATATCATAAAAAATTTATCTTAATCGGGCATGAATCATGAGGCAAAATCAAGCGGGAAACTTCAAAAATTAAGTTGAACTGAACGTCTCGAAAATACAAACCCAACGACACCAAATTCGACTCAATCCGAGCTCAAATATGTCAAAATCAAAGACCCGAAATGCATTTGAAAGGTTCAAACCATAATTTGGATTTACCAAACGATTTCAAACATGACATGGTTATAGTCGAATCAAATGGCTCGACGAGACGAATCTAACGAGCCCAAGATCGCCAAATTCTGATATCATTAAGACATTCAAATGCCCAATAAACTTTCCACGATCAAGGGATTCAACATCGGTCGTCCATTCAAATCACTCCGAATTTATTCTTGATCTTCCTCCTATGTATTGGTCATTCCACTATTATAAAACTATAAATAGACCCCTCATTTCTCATGAAAGGGGAACCCAAGTAAGAAAAAGAAGGAATAGAATGAAGAAGAGAAACTCGAGTTCTCTTGCCACTAGACTCCTCCTCGGTCACTGCCGAACTTCCAGCCAGCAACCAACCAACATTGGACTTTTGCCCAACCGCCGACTGACGCCAGACCTCTATCTGACTGCTAATTGATGTCGGACTTCCACTAGACTATCAATTGAAGTCAAATTTCCACCCAACCACTAAACGTCACCGGAATTCTG